TTAAAATAGCAAATTGAAAGTGTTGTGATTATATAGATTGGGTAACGTTATTTATTTCGCAATGGAAGTTTAGAATGTTAATTGTGTCTTCATGAATTCTAAAATATTTTAAATTATGCTATTAACACCATAAATTTACATTTTTAAAAGAAATAATACTTGTCTATGGTGCTAAAATAACTTTTTATATAAAGTTTGGGGTATTTAAATTACATATGCATGTTTGGGGTGTTCATCTCACACCCCTTCAAAGTTTTGGGTATTTTAATTATTTTTCCCTTTTGAATTTGAGGTTGCTTGACCAGCCGAGATTGTCGTTCTTTCTTCTTTACGCTCCGACTCTTCCAAAGTAAAAAGCCGGCCGGAAAAGGGGGCACTATTAGCTTTTCTTTCTCCATTTCCTCTCTCTTAAACACCAGCAACTATGAACACCATCACCAACATCTCTGCAAAACCAAACCTTAAACTGCCCCTCTCTTCCGGTCATCGCCATTCGACCCTTTCCCGGCCCGTCTCTTCCCTCTCCTTTACGACCCCGCCTTCATTGGATTCGTCGACCTCCGTCAAAGCCTCGTCATATCCGCTTCCGCCATCTTCTTCCCCTCAAACTCCGAAGTCCAATCTGTTCAGTTCGCTAAACCCTAGAACCGAACGCGACGGAACCCCAACCGAATCCGCCTTTCAGTTCCCCTTCTCCATTCTCAAAGGCACCGTCGTTACCACCGTAACTGCAGCGGCGCTTTTGTTTGGCAGGTTTTGGGTTCAGCTAAAGCCGGTCATTGCTTCCCCTGCCCCAACCACGGCTGCCATGGAGTCTGCAGGTTTAAGCGAGGAAAAGGAGAAGGTTCTCGAAGAGAAATTGCTGTCAAACCCTAATGATGTCGAAGCATTGAGGAATTTAATGGAGATTAAGATCCAGAACCAGAAAATCGTTGAAGCTATTGGGATTATAGAGAGGTTAATAGAGCTAGACCCTAGCGATGCTGAATGGCCGCTGCTGAAATCCCATCTGCATACCTACACGGGGGAGCTTGAGATGGCGAAAAAGGGGTTCAATGAGATTCTCTCAAAGGACCCTCTTAGGGTTGAGGCTTATCATGGACTGGTAATGGCTGCATCCAAGTTTGATTCGATTGAGGATTTAAAGGAAATCGAGAAAAGAATCGAGGAGGTGATGGTGTTGTTTCAGAAGGAAAATAAAAGGGCAGAATTGAGGGATTTCAAACTGTTGATAGCTCAAATTAGGGTCATTGAAGGAAAGCGTGAGGAGGCTTTGGAAGTTTATAAAGAATTGGTGAAGGAGGATCCACGGGACTTCAGGCCGTACCTATGCCAAGGGATCATATACATGCTGTTGAGCCAAAACGATGAAGCCGAGAAGAATTTCGAGAAGTATAGGAAACTGGTTCCGAAGGGCCATCCTTATGCGAGCTATTTTGATGAAAGCATGATTGCAACAAAGGGTTTTGCACAGGGAGTTGAGAATGCAGAAGCAGTGTCCATTAACTGAAGGTTTACTATGTGTACTGCTCTCTTTGATTGCAGATTCATGGTTTCCTGTGGAGTGCGTTACTCTGGATACTCATCCTTGAAAGTTTGAAGAAAAAATTGTTGATTAGATCATTTGTTCTTGGTCTTTAATTTAATTATACTATTCTAGTCTTTTTTGAATGGATTTTTACCTGACAAAGTATATGAAAAGATTGCCTAATGCACACACACATATAACACTACTTTGCTAAATCAAGAAATAGTCATATCTTAATAAAGAAATAGTATTTGAATCATACATTTTGCGATATTCAAACTGTTATAATGAATCCTATAATTATTGTATGGGAGGTTAACATGCAATTTTGTACACATTTGTCACAAGACGAAATCACCTGAAGCCCAACAGTCATTCAGATAGAGGAGTTATGGATGATGAATTTCAACAATTTCTTGAATTGGAGGGATAGGACCCGATGAACCCTTCTTTACATCGAGAATGGAAACTCTCACACCACAAATGATTTGATTTCCAAAAACGCATTGACAAATTCTTGCATTCTTATGCATTTTATTAACTCAATTCTCATAGCTGGATATATAGAGGATTGAGATCCTCTGCCCGACTAGGACCGTGCCTTGCTCAACGGACGGATGAATATGAAGAAGAGCACCTCGAGATACACAAAAAATGGCCCCCGATGATCTCCGATCGTTGACGGTCCTGATCCGACGGTAGCCCTCGGCCAGGCACCCTACCTTGCTGCTAGAGCAAGGCAGAGACCCCAAATCCATATATAGAGGGGAGCCACAAAATCCTAAAATCTCGATTGGGTCATTGGATGTTTCAATGTCATTATCAACCAAATTTTCAAGAAGACAATCATGCCCCCTCAAACTACTTAGAGATAAACAGCACAATGTTAACCTTGATTTTTAGGTTCCTAATATCTTCACGTAAGTGAGGTATTGTTTATCAGACCTCCTTGTATCCTACCACTGGTTTCCACTAGGGAAGGACTCGGGTCCGGTACTGTACGTGACCAGACTAGGTTTATTATTTTGGTCTCGGGTCAGGACCGGATACTTGACCAGGTAAAAGAGGTATCTGGTCCAAGGTTGCAAAATTTGGGACTAAGCAGCAAGTCAAATCCCTTTTTAAAAAAATAGTGTGTGTGTGTGGGGGTGGGGGTGGGGTAGTGGGCAAATAGCTGTTACCAACGGCTATATAGCGGTTTGGGTGTGAGTTTGGAGGGGTTGGGGGGTCTAATAATTCTATAATTACCTCAATTTCTATCATTTTTTTTCACTCTACATTTCTCGATTCTCATACTTCTCTCTACTACTCTCAATCTCATTTTGTATCTGTATGCTCATAATTATATACGAAGTATATTTATATCTAATACCTATTTATACATTTTATATATTTATAAATAATACTATCGTATATAATAAATGTTGTTCTACTACTCATATCTAATTAAATATATATATTAAGTGTATATATTAAAATATTAAATATGATTATACTACTCATCTCATAGTAGTATAGTTATATACTTGTATTATAGTAGTATACCAGTAACATTTTATTATATATATGATGTATACCCATCGCAATTTCATATTTTTCACATTTTTATATTAGTCATATTAGCCACATTATCATATTAGTTACATTATTATCATATTAATATTAGTCACATTTTAATACTAATTACATTTCAATATTAGTCACGTTTTAATATTTGTTACATTTTAAGATTAGTTACATTATCATATTAATATTACCCAAATTTCAACATTAATTACTCCGTACAATTTAGTATTAGTCATATTTTAATATTAGCCATATTATCATATTAATTACAGTATCATATTAATATTAGTCACATTTTAATATTAGCCACGTTATCATATTAGTTACACTATCATATTAATATTAGTCACACTTTAATATTAGTCATATATCACTATTTGTTACTTTCAATACGATAGTATTAGTTACTACCTTCGTCCCACTATGATTGGGACAGAGGGGTGTGACATAACTTTTAAGAAAATGTGGAATTATGTGGTTGATATTGAATTGATAAAGTGTGAATAAAGTAAAAATGAATTGTAACCACCCAAATATTACAAAATATGGTATGGGACAAACTTAATTAGAACGAAAAAGGTAAAACGGGACAAAATTAGAGAGACGGAGGGAGTACATTTTAACTTGTCGGGTAGAAAATTTGTTCATATAGGTAATTTTCAACGCAGCCGTAAGGAGATTTTGTAATCCCATCCTTCTTCGCGGACCCGTGGTAAACATCCCAAAGCCGTGATGATTGAGAGGCCAATTATGATCCTATAGATTCCATGTCCGAAGAACAAATGGCCCAACTCGTGTCGCCACACCAATGATGGTTTCTTAATCAAGAAGCCATTCTCGAGATTGACAAAGTGTTGGAGAACGAGTGAACGACGATGCACGGAGGCCCCCGTTGGGCGTTGGGGAAGGAAGAATGCGGGATACCCCAGAGCCTCTTGAGCCAAACCGCCAGAGCAAGGGAGCGGCACCAATTTGTCTGAACTACACGAACATGTGCATGGGGGTATCGGTGGTACTCGGGACCCGACCAAGACCCTTAATATCCGGGTCAGTTCCAGGTAGGGGTGGACTCAGGCCGGTTCGGGCCTGGGCCCGGCCGGGCCTCGATTCTGTTTTGTTGGGCCCGAGCCCGAACCGGTAGCCACCGGTTCCGGGCCACCCGGTTTTTTTTTTGGCTTCTCCTATTTAACCCCCACCCCCCTCACCCCCAAACCACCCCAAACCACCTCAAATGGCCCAAAATACCCAGTCCAACCAAAAAACTTTAAAAAAATTCAAAAAAAAAAAATTAAATTCGGCCCGGACCGGGCCCGAACCGGCCGGGCCGGTTCACCAAATGGAGGGCCCGAGCCCGGAACCGAACCTCACCGGGCCGGGTCGACCCGAACCGCCCCTGGGCCGGGTCGACCCGAACCGCCCCTGGGCCGGGTCGACCCGAACCGCCCCTGGGCCGGGCCACCGGTTCGGTCCGGTTCAAACAATGACCGGGCCGGTTCCGGGTCGGGCCGCCCGGCCCGAGTCCACGTCTAGTTCCAGGCCTCCCTATTTTGAAACCAGGACCGGCCAGCCCAGGACTTGAACCGGGCCTGAGTCCATCAGTTCCAGCCCACCAAGGTTAATATTCCACATCAATACCTATATGCCTCACAATACTAGTTGCTCCACCAAAGATCTCACGGTAGACTCGAGATATCACTTGCAGTCACAAGGGCATGAGGACCAAGATTGTTTATGATATTCTTGCTTTCTTTGCAAACTTGCATGAAATATTGGCAATGGGCCCTATTGTTCTTCTGGCATGAAATTTTATTTTGATTTATCTTTTTTATTAAGATTTATATATTTTTTGAATATTAATTATCATCAACTCATCATTAAAACCTTATAAAATGAAAAGTAAAGGATAGAATGTCAAATGCAGCAGCAAATAGACAAGGGAACTAATGTCATTAACAAAAAGCAAGAACACCACAAATACATGAACTCGTTTGTCATTATTTCATTAATGTTGTTTACAATGAGCTTGATTGGGGCAACCCTTTCCAAGTGCACTGAGTCTGGTTCCAATTCTGTACTAAGAGGTTTCAGTTCTCCATATGTAGGCACCTTAACCTGAACTGTGGTGAAGGAAATTATGGATGGACAGCCCAGTCACAACCTGGTTCGACCAGTCGCCCATTTTTTTTGGGCAAAAATTATCAGTCCAGTTCTATTTCAGTCCAGAACCATGTCCACCTGTACCCCCAATACATTAGCATCAATTGCAAAGACCATTGGGAATTTGGGATATGGCAATTACCTCATGCTCTCATAGAACCAGAAGGAATCTCTACAAACTACACTGTTAGTTCCTTCAACCAGACATACATAGTAGGTGTAAAGATGGTGCATGTAGAATAAACTAATAATAGTGTTTTACTTAAGAAATTCCACTCAACTTGTTAGCTCCTCCATCAACCCCTGCAAAAATAATGAAAATTTGATAATGTTTTACAAGTAACAAAAGCTTATGGGAAGAAGAAGAAGAGTGAATTATCCGTCACCTGGGAGATATACTGCTCAGCATCAGTTCTTCTAAGAAAAAGAATCGCATGGAGTGCCAAATTAGCCAACTGATCGCTCAACAAAACAGTTCCAATGTCATCAAGAACTCTCACTTTGATGTAGGGGTCTTTGGGTGGCACCATATCCTGTCCAGAATAGTTATTATGGTACACAGAACCTTTCCTTGTTAAAACATTAAAAGATAGGGGAGAAGAGAAGAAGCTAAGCTATCCTAATACAAAATGGGCATGAAGTTCACATATTGTGATAGGCAAAGAATTGCATGTTCTAACTTCTAACAAGTGCCTTCTAACAAAACGGAAATTTTGTACTTGCAATTTTGCATCAATGTATATTCCAATATTCGGCTTCACTTTGCACTCACAGAGAACCCAATTTCATATGCTTTTACCTTGCACCCTGATCACTCTAAAATGGGCTATTTCTATAAGACTGCATCTCCTTCATTAGCCATTGTTCTATGAGCATAGTTGAACAAAGTTAAACACAGAATGCAAAGTCAAATATTGAGATATATGTGCAAAGCAAATACCAAAATTCTCTAATAAAAGGAATGTCCATGTTGACAAAAATGCCATAATTTTGGCAAATAATACCATACGTTTTGTTGTTTTGATGCTTCTGAACTATGTGTAAAATCAAAGAAGAGTTATCTTTTTACCACACCCAAGTCCAGATCAAGTTCTGACATGCACGATTGTAGAGTAGCAGAATGATTTTTGAAATAATCCTTTTCTGAACTGCTAAGTTTCTCCTCAATTTCTTCAGGGAGTACCCGTTCAAGGGTCCAACCTAAACTGCGAATGATTTCAGCACGGTTGTATCTATCACCAGAAACAAACATGAGATATTGGTTAATGAGAGATATGCACATAATCAACTGCAGAACACCAACATCGAATCCTTAGTCCCAAAAAAGTTTGGGGTCGGCTAACATGAATTGGCGGAATTGCCATATCAAATCAGAGCTAAAAAATATAAAAAAGCTAAAAATTAAGATAAGAAAAAGATAGAGATAAGATAAGGATAAAAAAGATAAGATCATAAGATAGAGAAGAACAAAAGATATAAAAAGATAAGAAAGACGAAAAGATAAAAAAGATAAAATGAGATCAATCCCTCCACTTTGCCCTCTCCAAATTCATGTTGTCATCCAACCCAAGAAGTATCATATCATTCTCGACTCATCTAATCCACGTCCGTTTGGGTCTTCATCTCCCTCTCCTCCAGTCCTCCCTCCTCATCCCTCTCTTACCTATCAACTCGTCTAACAGATGCATCACTTGGCCTTCTACACACGTAATCAAACCACCGCAATCGAGACTCTAGCATCATAATATGTGCCACTCCCACTTTTTACCTAGACAACTGCAGAAGTTGCCTTCAAATACTAATGTTCATAAAAAATTAAAGAGCATTTACACATAAGCCATGAGACATCGTTTATTGCGGATAAGAGACCGGTGATGAACCAGCAAGCCATTGTAATCAGCATCCTCAGATTGTTGTTGGCTATTTGAATTATCAAAGGATGATGACCTACAGGTAAAAGGGTATCATAAGTTCATAACCCATAGTAAGAAAAAACAACTGGGAAAATGGAAAGCACAGTTTTAATGTAAAGAAACATAATGTGCCCATAGTGGAAAGCATATTTTAAGGTAAACACTAGTGCTGTGGCAATAAATAAGCACACCAGAACTCCAGAAGTGGCAGTTGCAATGTTAACAAATATGGAAAAGTTGTAGTAAGTACAGGTCACGACGATAAATTGTATACTAGTGAAATGCATACTAATATATACTGTAGTGTGCATCTATACATACTGTATAGTGTATACGAATTATACATTTATACATGTAAAATACTATGTTTTAAAATTAAACCATGTAAAACTGTAGTGGGTATACTGCTTAGTGCATAACCGCATCTAAAATATATTAATATATTGGAGAAGAGCGCAGGTCGTCTTCAACCTTGCGACACAGCAAATGCAGGTCACCTTCAACCTTGGACAGAGGCAAGCAGCAGACAAGTACTGACCAGGGGCGGATCCAGGAAATTTAGTTATTGGGGGCACCAAGTATGCAAAAGTGAGAAAAACTCAAATAATTATAAAATAAATTCAAAGATGCAAAAATCCAATGTAACCATGATAGAAAATATATATTACATTTTATTACAACTGCTCTCTACGAGTTTTCATTTTTTGAAAGCGCTCCATCACAACTTCATTTGTAACTGTATCAAGCAAATCCTTTTCGACATAGCAAATAAGACAATCATTCATAAACTGGTCGCCAATCCTATTGCGCAGACTTGACTTCACAATTTTCATCCCAGAAAAGCATCGTTCAACGGTGGCGGTTGCAACTGGCAAAATCAATGCCAATTTAAGTAGTCGATACACCAAATAATATGAAAGATGTTTTTTGGTGTCCACCATCATTTTAGCAAGGTCGCCTAAGCTTTTTAGGTTAGAGAAGCGTTCATCACCAAGCACATCATTTAGATAGAGTTTTAGTTGATGCTCAAGAGTGTGTCGATCCTCATAGTCAAAGTCATCAGGATAAAACTCAGCCAATCTCATCAAATTCAGTGCGTCAAACCCACTAAAAGAGTCATTTGGACTCAAAGATCCCGTACACATGAGCAACTCTGTATTCACCTCATCAAACCGGTCATTGAATTCTACAAGCTGCATATCTACAACTGTATAAAAGCAATCCACAAAATAATAATGAAAGTTAGTGGTATTACTTTTTTTCCGAGGCCTCTTTGGATTAATGTAGTCTTCTTCCATCCTCAACATTGAAATGTCATGTTTGTCACAAAAATCAGAGACTTTTTTCAAAAGAGAACCAAATCCATCATTCCGAATCTCTTGCAACTGCTGCTTAGTTGACTTCACTAACGACAGAGCATTTAGAATGTCTTGATCCTTTCTTTGTAAAGCCAATGACAAAGAACTTGTGAGCCCCAAAATCAATAGCATCAATTGCAAATAAAACACAAAATCAAATGATTGCAAATAGACTAGAAGACCATGTGCCTGACGTCTTCTCACGTCATCTTTACCATCTTTTTCAACAAATTCAAGAACTTCAACAACAGATGCAAACAACTCGACCAAACGTAACAGTGTTTTGTAATGAGAACCCCATCGAGTATCTCCAGCTCTTTGAAGCATTATCTCCTGATTCAAACCTTTTCCTGTACTAATCTCATTACTAGTAATGGATTCCTTCACCTTTTCTTGATGACTTTGACGAATCATATCTTTCCTTTTGCAAGAAGCGCCAACCACATTCAACAACAGAGATATCATATCAAAAAAATTTCCCACCTCAAAATGTTTTTTGGCAACCGCCACAACAACTAATTGAAGCTGATGAGCAAAACAATGCACATAATATGCTGAACTAGTTTCTCTCAAAATCAAAGCTTTTAACCCGTTAAATTCGCCCCGCATATTACTTGCACCGTCATAACCTTGACCCCTAACCTTACTCAAACTCAACCCATGTTCAGCAAATAAAGCATCAATAGCACTTTTAAGAGATAATGCAGAAGTATCCATGACATGATTAACACCAACAAACCTTTCTTTAATTATCCCACACTTGTCAACGTACCTCAGAACTACAGCCATTTGTTCCTTATCAGATGCATCACTAGACTCATCAATCATCAATCCAAAAACATCATCACCAATTTCATTGAATATAAAGTTCAATGTTTCTCGCGCAAAACAATTAGCAATGTCTTTCTGAATACCGGGAGACACCATTTGATTATTTCCAGGAGCATTTTTTAAAATGACTTTTCGTACAACCTCATTTTGATTTGAGGTATACTTTATCATTTCTAAAAAATTTCCTCTATTGTTAGACTCCTCAGTTTCATTATGACCACGGAATGAAAGCCCTTGATGCAACAAAAATCTAGAAACATCAATTGAAGCATTTAATCTGATGCGATACTCACTTTTTGCGGTCTCATTTTGCTTATGAAGAGCAACACTGATTGATTGATCTTGCTTCATCAAATCTTCACACCTTTCGAGAGCTTTATTGTGAAAGCTCTTAACAACACCAACATGGCCAGCTAATCTTTCAGTTTTATTCCAACTAGAAAAGCCTTCTGTTACAAATGCATCATTTCCTGCTTGATTTTCATAGTTATCTCTAAACAAATAACAACACAAGCAAAATGCTTTGTCCTCTTTTACACTATATTCTAACCAATTCCCGTACTGATCGAACCAGGCAGAATTAAAACGCCGCAATTTTTTACCAATAATTTTTTTAGGGAAATCATGGCCACGAGGTTGGCAGGGCCCCCTAAGCAAGTATTTTCTTCTTATCTCATCCCTTTGATTGGGATGATATGCTGAAATTTTTTTCCTTTCTGCGGGATCCCAAGGAAGATCATTCAAATCGATTTCTCTAGGTAGTGAAGGGGTGTTATTTGATACATTAGCACTTGAACTTTGCCTCGCATCCCCGCTTTGATTGGAAGTAGGCGGTGATTTTCTTTTAAAGAATCCTGTTATCATTGTTTATCTGTCCAAACAAATTAAATTTTAAAAAATTTACTTAATTTACACAAAATACATATGTTTAAGCTGGTCAAACAAAATTCCTAATAATTAATAAACTAATAAAGTAGAAGTCATATTTACACCCCAAGAGCCTAAAGTAGATTTACGAAATTTCTAATAAAGTAGATTCACACACAAAATTCAGAATTAACTAACAAGAAAAATTACTAGATACATAACATAGTTAAGATTAATGAAGCAAACTATTAAAAAATAAATGGTCAAAAGTAAGAAAATTTACTGACCTCAAAAGATATAGTGAATGACTAATCGGAAAGTCGAATCCAAGATACAAAGATAAAGAGACGGAGAAGATTGCAATACTACGTTGGCGGCAGAGGGTCGAATTTATTATCACAAAGCCGGATTAACCATTGATGCACTACTGCTCATTCTTTGTTGGCTTTGCTCTCCCAATTGGCACTTCGGCAGACGGAAGAACCGAAGAAGGATTCAAGGATAGGGAATTAGGGATTTGAAAAATTGAAAGTGAGGTCTTAGGTAGGTGGGCCGTATTACCTAAATGTGTATTGGTTCAATTGACTAGTCATACTTCTTTTTTAATGAGAGCTTCTATGAATTTAGTTAAAAAAATAAAATTGTAAAAAGATTAAAATTAAGTGGTACTGGTAGGATGTGGCCTGTGGGCCTTATCAAACTTCCACCATATCTGCATATGGCCGTATAAAACTTCCACCTAGCCTTATATAATTGAATGTCAATAATGTATTGGGGGCACATGTTTTTTTCCATTGGGGGCACACATATTTATTATATATATAACTATAAATTACACTTAAAAAATGGAAAGCCATTGGGGGCCTGTGCCCCCATTAACACTAACGTGCGTCCGCCCCTGGTACTGACTAGCGATGCTTCGTGTTTAGGAGTCATTGATTAGCCTCAGAGTTTGAGAGTTGACGATGTCCTTCGAGTTTCAGCTTTCTGAAGGCTCTACTTTCTAAATCTTATTTTGGGCTAGGCTTCTAAAAACGAATTTATTGAGATTTTAATCTCCCTGGCGCAACGCCAGGGCTGAGCCTGGACGGCATGTTTACGCCTGGATGATGCCAGAGGCGGCTTATCTTCTTCAGGCGAGTCGGTCTCTCTTGTCAACCCTTCTCCATCACCAGGACGCCTAGTTGGTGACTAGGCGACGTCTAGGTGACGACATGACAAGTATGATCCCTGAAAGGCGAGGCTCCGGGAAGGATTCCCCCACAATGGTGTATAAGGGGCAAGCCTTCCCCTCTCAAATTTTGACAAGAGGCCACTCTCAAGACTTGAACTCGTGACCTCTCCGTCACACAGCAACACCTTAAGACCTTAACCCGGACGTCAACGAGCATTAGTGTAGAGTGTAAATAAATATCAATTTATATTCTAAAAATACTAGGGTGCTTCAATTGACCTGTTTCCTAAAAATAGCCAGATCACATAAATTTCATCCTTCATAAGAGAAACTTCTGCTAAACAAACTGGTGATAGACTTTAAAACACACACAAGGAAGCATGGCATAAGAGATACTAGTATATGGTTTTGTGACTTTGTCATATTTATGAATGCATCCAAAACTAACACTAACGAAGAAATCAGGAAAATAAACAGAAAGATAGACTACATTTTGCATAGTCATAGAGGTATCTTATGTATTTCAGATAATATTATATTCGAGGAAAGATAAAATCTATTATATCCAAATTAATTACACCTGGAATTGTCGATGCCCATGTACGAAGTCAAATAATTTGCTTCTGGAAATCATGTTTTGCTTTAAGTATGCAAGTCTGCATCCAGCCCTTTATTATCATTTTATAGCAAAGAATAATAAAATTAAGAAATTTTAAGTCTTGCCTAAGGGTGCTAATCGAGCAATCGAGCTCGAGTTCGGCTTAAATCGAGCAGGGCATGATAAAGAAAGACCGAGTTCGAGCTTGACTCGAGTATCAGTCAAGTCAAAAAAATTATGGCTTGGTTCGAGTTGAGTTCGAGTTGTAGTTGAGTTTTATCAATTCTAAAAAATGATATATTTTTAAATGAAAAAAGTTTGATTTGGTATATGTTTAAACATGCATGCGCAATCATCAATAAATTGTTAAACATAAAAATGCTGTTTTAAAATTTCCCGCCTATTTATCTCTTAGATATAAGGACTCTCTTTGCCGTCTATGATTTAATTAAATTAGGATGAACTGTGTTTAATTAGTCCTACTTAATTCTGCTTGAACGTTACCCAAGAATACCTATAATCCGCGCAACACTTTTAGAAGATTGTCTAAAACATTATGCAATATGTGAATCTCTAGTATGTTTTTAGTAGAAGATAAGTATAACTTTAATGCTTGGATCCATACTATGAATATATGATGCAATGTCATATGAATCTAAAATAATTAACATTAAGTCATTAACTCATAATCGAATAGCTTGAGAGCTTTTTGAGTCAAGTGCGTATATAGCTTGAGCTTGACTTGATTTGGTTCGAGCCGTGTTTGAGTACGAGTCGAGTCTGAATGGAGTCGAGCTATGTTCAAGTAAAAACCGAATCGATCTCAAGTAGGTTGGTTGATTAGCACACTAAGTCTTGCCTCTGATGCACATGTATTTGACCTGACTATTAAGGACCACTTATGTGTGAAATAATGAAATTTATCACATCAACATAGCATACAACCAGGGTGAGAAAAACAAAAAGAAAATAGAAAAGAAAGTGAAAAAAAACATGCACAAAGCTCAGTGTACGGTAATTAATTCTAAATTTGTTACCTCAACAAGGATTGAAGAAGAAGGAAATGGCTGTTACATTCCTCAATTACTTGAGTAAATAAATCACTCTGTGTTGGAAAAAACAAAACCAAGTCATAAAACATTTAAGGTATATTGTATACTACGTATAATGTATAGTTAAGCACTAGAGCTCAGCCAATAGCCAGCATTAGTGCAAAAGAAAAAAACTGACTCTAGATCTTGTTAAGAATTTGAATAAAAGAAACTACCCCAACCATACTGTGAGATATTAAGTGCAAACACCGAAAAATAAAAAACTGCAAAAACTAGATGTGCATTGCGAAGTACCCTTTTCATACAGAAAAATTTAAGCAACAACATAAGATAGTGGTTTTTTTCAAATGGAGAAACAAAATAGCAAATTGTGGTATAAGATGAAAGGCTATTACATTGTAAGCTGCGAGCTGCCCAGGTTCGCCATCTGCAAGTTCTCTCACCAATTCACACCCTTTCCTTCCATACATTTTGTTTAATCAAGTGAGAATCGCACTCTAAAAACTGCACCCAAATCAATTGTTTTAACAAATCACTTGAACTGAGCTACTTATTAGTTAACAGCAATTAGTACTATGTAATTACAGTAAATATAACTAGCACACAAAAATACAATAACTGTTAACCGTGGACTAATAAAGTTCCAATTGACAACTATCTATGCATAACCTTTTAGAATCACGCAAACAAAACTGTTGTATATAACTATACATGAATATGCACTTTGATTTTCTATTTTTGGTCAAAACTAGCTGCAGATTGCAGAATCAGTGACAAAGACTAGAATAACTAAAATTGAATTTTTAAAACGAATCAGGAGATCAAATCACAATTCATAAATACGCAGATTTAAAAAATAATACGTAGTATAGTTTTCATCAGGGGCAATTCTAGCATTTAAATCCTGTGGGGGGAGGGATTTAATATATACTCCGTGTATACTCATTTAATTGCAACAATTAAGTAAAATACAAAAATAAAGATTACTAATGTTTTACATGAATACAAGTTTTCATCAGAGTCAAATACAAAAAACACATCACAAATACACCAGGCTAATATCATTTAAAATGACATCATAGTCAACTTCCAAGGAGATATTTTTTCTACATAAGCAAGAAATCGATCACTTGCATCCCCCATTTGGTTGCTCAATTTATCCTTCGCGATATTCATTGCAGAACACGCTCTTTCAACACTAGGTGTTGCAACAGGAAGAATCAATTCTAAACTCAAAAGCTTATATAATAAAGAAAATACCCTATGTTTCTTAGTTTTTACCAACTTTTGATCACCAAGTTCTTTCAAATCCTTAAATAAGGAGTTGGAGCTTATATCCAACATACAACTTTCTACTGTAAGAGTAAAAAAATCTAACTAAAAAATGTACTCGTGATAACATTTAAAATAGTACAATCTAACATCATATAATGGAAATATGATATGATATTAACACTAAGCATAGGCTTAAAAAAGAATGCAAGGTTATTTTTGCCTTTTCAGAAGTAGATTGTGTAGCCATACATACTTCAATTAACAAAAATTAATAAAATCATCAGCATATTGTTTCCCATCACATAATTCATATTAGGGAAAATAACTTTAAATAATACGAGTACCAATTATCTTCCATGAATCAAGAATAATACATACTTTAGAAATGACTTTTAATAATACCAAATTACCAACTATCTGAATGTAAACAAAAAATAATACAGAATCACTTTTCTACAAGAAATCCGGGCATTTAAGACATCAAAAACTAATATCAAATCATCAAACAATGGGTATTTGGAAATACAGTCACTTATTAGATATTTTGATACTACCTCCGTCCCATTTTATGTGTCTTAGTTTGACTTGGCACGGTTATTAATGAAATGGTTGAAAAAGTAAAAGTTGAGCAACGAGCATGCCTTGAATAGTTGGGACGGACGGAGTATTAGTTTTTGATGAGTTAAATAACTGAATTTTTAGTGAAAATTTGCTATATAAGGAGTATCACTTTTGATATATATTCAAAATTTCAAATAGTTGGTATTATTAAAAACAATTTCTAAATTTCGTATTATTCTCAAAACAAAGTTCGTATTATTCTTGACTAATGAAAGATACTTGGTATTATTTAAAGTTATTTTCATTTCATATTAATATGTTACTCCGTTATGACATTTTCAATTAAAGATAGTTGGTATTATGTTATGAAATTTATAATCCCTAATTTTCAATTTACAAATGAAATCACACAGCTACACAAGTAATTCTTCTATAACCTACTAACCTATTCTAAATGAGAAAAATCATACCACAAATTAGTAAAATAACACTGAAATAAAAAATACAAAACTTAGTAAGTTACCTACGTCTGACTCTTGAGAATATGAGAGGCACAGAGAGAGACTTAGACGGTTGACTGAGTCTAGGTTGCTAATCGGAGTAGCCGGTAGCGTAGAGCACTGGAGCAGGACAGCAGGCAGGGGCGGCACGGCTAGACGCGGTGAGGAAGACGCAGGCGTAGGCGACGAAATGGCGGCAAACAGGGCGCAGGCGACGGCGTCTCTGGGCTCTGGCCGGTCTGCCTCTCAGCGGCTTCATAGAGTGGGCCGAATTATTTTATTAATAAAATAAAAATAAAAAATTATAGGGAGTATGTAAAAAAATAGGTTAAATAGCCTAACTTCAACACTAACTTCAATCCATACCCTATACTAACTTCAATCCATACCCTTCAGTAACTTCAACATTACTTTTTCTTATTATTACACAATTTAGCGCGCGAAAATAAAAGTTACATGATTAGTGAAAAGTTAGCTGATAAGTCTGACTATCTTTTATAAAATACTCCGTACAAATTATATATTGACGATCACCAAATTATTATACACAACCATTAGTTTAAATATTACTAAAAAAGTAGTATAAATATCTAAACATGATCATGTAATTATCATATGAAACACAGTATCGATAAAATCCTGACGGACAAAAAGTCATTCTTGAAACTAGTCACAATGCGATGTTTGGTATGTGAAGCACAAGAAATCCCGTAATTCTCATATGAAACACAAGATGGTGAATGTCTTAAAAGGAGGTTTTCCAATTTGAACCTAACAATGCGATGTTTGGTACGTGCAGTATTACATTACAATGTCACTTTTTAATATATATATATTTTTTAATTAAATTACTATTCACAATCAACAAAAGTTTATTTGAAATAAAATGATTAGTTATTTATATATTCTATAAAATATATATCTTGCAAAGTATTCAAACACTCACAATCTTAATCCGGGGCAACGCTCGGGTAAAACACTAGTTACTAAATAAAAATAGTATAAATATCTAAATATAATCCCGTAATTATCATATGAAACACAATATCGGTAAAATCTTGACAGACAAAAAATTATTGTGGAGACTAGTCGAGTTACTGACACTATTGTTTATTACGGGGGTGTTTCAAATTGATTCGGTGCTTATTTTTTAAAAACAAAAGCAGAATCAGAATCAGTTTTCAGAAGTTTATCTACCCCAACTTCTAAAAAATTGATTTTAGGAGTAAATTAGGGCACCCAAGCACTTCAAAATTGATATTAGGAGTAAATTGATTCTGCTTCTCTTCTCTGAAGAAGCAGAAGCAATTTTATAAATCAAATCCAAACAGCCATGAACATGTCAAACTAAGATTCAAGGTAAGAGAGAAATTCTGCCGGAATAGCCATTACAGATTTTTGCCCGAAAAGCAACTTGGTGAAGGAGTTATTGACCCAAAAATTTTATGGAGCCCTATATGACTCCACTATGGAGTCATATAACACATGTGACATTATCACAACCATTCATTTCTATAATGGATTTATTGTGGAGGGCCCTACTTCATAAATGAATGATTGTGATGGTGCCACATATGCTATATGACTCCATAATGCAGTCATATAGGGCTCCATAAAATTTCCCATTATTGACCATGCTTTAGCTAGGAAGTGTAATCGAATGAAAATTACTTCGTATATACAGTACATACACTACGCTTGCTTGTATTCTCTTGCGGTCTAACTGTTGTGAATTAGTGCATCACTTTGTGCTATCTAAATCAACGTACAATTAAGTTATCTACTCGCATCATCTTTATTAATAATAAATAGATTAGATAAAGAGTTGAAAAAAGATAATAAAACATTCAAAAAAGACATAGGAACGAAACATATACATGAGAATTATTTGGCACAAGCCGCACAACTAGCTGAAAATGTACTTGTGAAAGCTTTTCAGTAAATGTTAACTTTTAATGATTGAAAAAATCTTAAAATGTAGTATCTGTTTGATAAGAAGCTGACTATTTGATTTAGTACTGTTTGTATACAAGCTTTCAGAAACTTATAAATAATTAATACGAAGTACTAAAAGTTACAAACTTTTCTCACGTACTACTCACTTTAGCATATCAAAAAAGGCTAAAGGGTCAAATAGACCCTTGAACTTACTTAAAGTGTTCAATTAGCCTCTTATATAGCAGGTTCTGCTCGGCCGTCACTAATTGGGGTGGTTCCAGGTGGAATTTTTTGATGAAATTTTTTGAGCATCTTCTTCATTAAGTCTAGTTTACCCATACCAAATTTCAGCTAAAAATTCAACCGGAAAGGCAGTGAAATGATTTTCCGAAATGTACTGCGTTGTTTAACTTCGCAGTTATCTTCAAAAAATCATTTGACTGCTTTCCCGGTTGAATTTTTAGCTGAAATTTGGTATGAGTAAACTAGACTGAATGAAGAAGATGCTCAAAATATGTCATCAAAAAATTCCACTGGGAACCGGCCCAATCGGCGACGGCCGGGCAGAACCTCTTATATAAGGGGCTAATTGGACACTTTAAGTCAGTTCAAGGGCCTATTTGACCATTTAGCCTATCAAAAAAATATTTTATTTTTTAAAACCTCTTAAAACTTGGCATGCCAGAGATATACAACTAGAAACTTTATAAAGACCTTTTAGATAGGGTTGTGTTAGTGGGTTGTATGGATTGTAAATAGAGGATTCACACAGCGGGTTTAACTAGCGGAATAAGTTGACGGGTTGCCAAAAGATTTTTGGTAATTTAGCTGTTTGACCATAAAATTAGTAGAAAATGTCAATTTTCAAAACACTAACTCAAATCTCTCCTATTTATAGCATTTTCATTTCAGCGATTCCGTCAAAAAACACTAAGGATGTTTTCTTTTGGACTGTTTTCAGTCTCAGACCAGACCAGCAAATTTCAGTCCAAAAGAAAACATCCTAAAGCTAAGAAGCTATTTACCAAACATCGTTTTCATTTATTTACCAAACCGTCATTTTTGTGGCGGAACCTCTTTTTCCAAACATCCCCATAATTAAAAAATAATAAAATAGAAGGTAGTGATTTATGTCTGGCTCGTGGTGAGCCGAAGCTACATGCTAGCATTAATCATACCAAAGATTCTCTTTAAATGACGATTGGAGATAAGTGATTATCCATATCTGCTGATGCTACTAGCATTAACTTCGAATGACTGTACTTTTCTATTTATAGTGAAACGACAATAGTTTTGGGGCCTGGGGGAGGTCGTGGGGGAGCTGGCCCTCGAGGCCTCGACCAAAATAATTAATATCCCTGTTCCCATCAACATCGACCAGCTCAAGTTTACCTTTTCTTTTTTCGAATACTAATTACCAAAATAAAGATGTTTTACAAAAATATAACTAGTTATTAGGGTAGTAATGAAATTGTAGTAATTCATGTTCAAGATTTGAACTTAAGTTACCACAACACTACGTTGTAGTAATGAATAGTCATATTTATGTAAATAAGTTTTATTTTAGTAATATTCTTGTAAAAAACCCGTATCGAGTAAAAATTATACGTAGTACTTCCCTAACCTTTATATATTATAGAAAAAATTGAAAATAATAATTCCAACTATTATTGGTCCGTTATTAATAATTTTAACTATCGATTATTCTGGATGAACCCAACTATAGGGACCATTTTCCAAAAATTGTCTCTTACTTTGCAGGCTAGAGACTATTTTTGGAAAAGGAAAAAGTACCAAATCAACCCTCAAACTATCATCAATAGTGCAAATCACCTCCTAAATTATAAAAACGTGCAACCAGGACCTTCAACTCAGCGATATAATGCAAATCACCCTTAAATTAAAAAAAAATGTAATCAAATTCTCCAACTCGGCAATATAGTGCAAATGACTATCCTAAGCGGTAATTTATGTGTTAAAGCTTATGTATGTCATTTATTAAAAAAGGGTAAATGGTCAATTAAATTACGCCATCACTTAAACCCTTCTACTATTTTCAATCCATCACTTAAGTTCTTCTACTAAAAAATGTTATCTAAATATGCTTACTTTTATAATACAATCAATTAAGCCATTTTAAAGTGTTGTAGCAGGTTATTTTTTAAAAATTAAATTAGGGATATTGATAAATCATACGGACTATAAATTTTAAAAATAATGTTATAATAATATAAAAATAGGAGAAATGTAAAAGTAGATAGGAACTATTTTTAATATAAAAAACATGTTATTAGAGTTCAAAAAATGATTAAATGGCCAAATTGATAATTTTTTTAAAGTAATGATACTTATATGATGCCATTTTAAAATTGACTTCTACACTTACAAAATATTTAAACAACAATAGAAAATGGTTACATAAATCTTCTAGGATGTTTTTATTTGGACTATTTTCAATCCCAAACCAGTTTAAACAGATCAGACCAGACTTAAACATACGAGACCAAATCAGATTTCCATAGTTATAAAATACACATAGACCACACATTTACCAAACAAGACAAGACCAGTTCGAACCAGACCAACAAATTTTAGTCCAATAAAAACATCCATAGTCTTCGAAACTCCCGCTTCCTTGGTCGGTAGTCATTTCCTTCATTAAGTGGCGGGGGGGGGGGGGGGGGGCTATCGTCGGCGGGTCTTTAGTCATTCGTGCAAACACACGAGCATCTCATTAGATTGCATGTTCAATCTCGTTCTATAAGCAGTCAATAAAAAGTTTAAGTGAGATATATTATGGCGAATAAATGAATCTTAGGAAAGTCATTTGCACTTTATCACCGAGTTGGAGAATTTGGTCACAACTTTTTTTAATTTAAGGGCCGGGGTAATTTGCACTATATCACCGAGTTGGAGGTCCTAATTGCACGTTTTTATAGTTTAGGGGGTGATTTGCACTATCAATGTTAATCTGAGAGCTGATTTGGTACTTTTCCCTTTGGAAAATGGTCCCTATAGTTGGGACCACCTCATGAATAATCAATAGTTGGAATATTTAATAGATGACCGGTAATAGTTGAGATTATTATTTTCAATTTTTCCTATATTATACTCCCTCATGTCGCTCAAAACTGTGCCAAAATTAACTGACACGTAGAATAATAAAGTTAAAAATTAGGTTGAAGTTTGTGCAAAGAAAGTGAAAGAGTTAGTTGAACAATAAAAAAAAGACAGCTAGCAAAGCTATAAGGAATGAAGGGAAGATCAATTAAAATCACGATCCAAACTCGAAGAGATGCTTGAGTATTTTGAGAGTGAGGTAGTATTATTTATTACGTAGTATGTAAAATTGTAAACATGCATGTGGTGGATTAATTAAAATATGAATTACGTTGTGCTTACTACTTAGAGTCTTCAAGATGGGCCGAAACTCGCGGGTTAGCCCGTTTCAACCCATTTATTGGTGGGATAGAGTTAGCATTTTCTGACCCAATTAATTCATGAGTTTCACGTGTCAACCCATACGAGTTGCAGGTTAAGTGGGGTTAAAATTGGCTAAATCGAGTGATTCTACTGAAATTTATGAAGTTCTGATTGATGTGACTAAAATGGTCTTTTAGAGTAATTTCAACCAATCTAATCAGAAAATAACTCTAACATTACATGTTATGATTGTTACACAACTCAGTGCAAAGAAAAATGTTACATATTTGGTAAAAAATTTATTGATAAGACTAATAAATCAAAAAACTAGGCAACAAATGGTCTATTAATCAATTGATTATAAAAAAAATAAATCCAGAGATATTGCTTATACGGAGTAATAAAGATCTACAGAAAGATTGGATTTAAGACATGCAGTTGTCAACCAATAATGCAGCATAAATATATCCATTGAGGGAGTCTAAGTGGTCAGTACGGAATTAATAATTTGCTCTGCTCTATAACTATTGTTCTATCTCTGCTGACTCCCAAACACGACCCACTGAGGACAGAGATAAATGGCGAATGAATGTGGATGGGATGAGTCCTATAAGGAAGCATTATTGGAGCAGAAAGAAGAGAAACAGTACTATGAGAACTGCCCAGGTTGTAAGGTGGAGCAACAGAGACAGCTGCAAAGAGGGGTTCCAGTCAAATTGCTGATCCGCGTTTGGACAATTGTTCTCTGCACTTGTATGCTTATTCTACATATCTTATTCTTCTAATCTTCTTTTAATTAAATTTATATATCCATTGCATTGGATGAAGTTAACCTATCATAATTCATACAAGCTCTGTTTCTTCTTCATATCTTATTATTGACTGGGTCTTTAATTTTTCAGCACTTCCAATATCATCTCTCTTTCCATTCCTATATTTCATGGTAAGTCATTGTTTTTTGCTCCCCCCTTGAAAAGGTTACCCTTGTAGTGATGTGTTTGGTTATTACTGTTCTTTTTGTCTAAAAGGTTGTACGTAGTAATTAGAATTCATGAATATGTAGGGGTGGGATCGGTCCGGTCTGGGTCGGGTTTTTGCTAAACCCGGAAATTACCCGGAAGGTCTCGGGTTATAAAAATTAGGGACCGGAACAAAGCCCGTCATATTCGGTCCGAGTCGGGTTTTTGGTAGCCCGGGTTCGGTCCGGGTTCGGGTTGGGCCGGTTAAAGCCCGAATGTGAATTATCTCATTGTTCTTTTATATTTTAACACCTATTTTCAAATAAAATTAGTGAAAAATACAAACCGCAAATAATAACACAAATATTAGTCTTCAAAATCACCAACATTCAAATCCAAAGAAGATAATTATCTTAATATTTTATTTAAGATGCATATAAATAAATAATATAGGTTTCTTAAAAATATTTCGAAATAAAATTTATAGATAAAAATGTGAATAGAGTTCCTATAAATCTATTTTTCATGGTCATTATGCTAAACAAATTGAACATATTTGTAGTCACTAAAAGTTACTAAATGATTTTTTTATCCACCGTGATTATAATCATATATCAGGAAATATTTATAAATTTATACTCATATATTATATTAATTTTATATTAAAGCTAATTGTTTCGGGTTTTTTCGGTCCGGGCCGGGTTATAGATTTTAAGGCCCGTTAATGAGCCCGAAATTTCGGGTTCAGTCCGGGTATTTTTAATTCGGGCCGGTTAAAAAGAAAAAACCCGGACCGGGGTCATAATTCGGGTCGGTCTAGGGTCGGTTTCCGGGTTTCGGTTCGGGTTTTCCCACCCCTATGAATATGGATCAAGACTCAAGAGAGATGCCATTCTAAAAAAGGGAGTATAATATCCTAACATGATTTTTTAGTTACTATAAATCTATAATAGGATATTTAATGACTGTGTTCATGTTAAGTTTACACAACAATGATCATGATTCATGAACGTATGTATATTTATAGTAACTTTAGCTACAATTTGTTCATCTTTATATGTAAGCGATAATTTTCTCTTAAAGAAAAACATCATATGTCATTCTCTTAAATTTACAATTTTAGACCTATTTTATTTGAGTTACTTTTGGGTCGAACTTTTTGATATATTTTGTGAGCTTGTTCTATATGAAGTGCAGATTATCTTCACCAAATTTCAGCTTAAAAAATCAAGCGGAAAGTCAGTTAAATAAATTATTGAAAAAACTGCGGAAGTATATATATTCAGTTGCACAATTTTCAATAATTTATTTAACTTTCCCAAATGAATTTTAAGCTGAAATTTGGTGGACATAATTTGCACTTAATAGAAAGTATGCTCACAAAATTTCATTAAAAAATTCGGCTCGTATACACCTCAAATGAAAGAGGGTGAGCATTCTAACATAGTGACAAAAAGTACATTTAATTATAATTGCGTCATCGTTTTTTGTTTTCTTTCTCATGATTTTTAATCCTTATATGAATTATAGTCCTGTCATCAGTTTTTTGCTTTCATTCTCCTGATTTTTAATTCTTATTTCTATTGTATAATCTGAAATATTCAATTCACGGATAAGAGATTTCAAAATTGCAGAGACACACACACACACATATATATATATATATACATACACACACATACATATATATATAAATTTATATTTGTATACTATTTCAAAATTGTAGATAAGAGATTTCAAAATTGCAGAGACCGAAGAAGATATTGGTTATTATGCAGGTTATGTAGGTAATATATTGTACCCGGAGTACCAAATTTTGGAGCAACAATATATATTATTTATTCGGGTTTAATGCACCAAGCCATTTCGTGATATGCAAATGCACTGCATTACCCTATGTCATTTAAAAATATGTCAAACCCCTCTCCTCTGTTATAATAAATCATGCGCGGAACCCTTTTTGTGAATAATTTAACAATTTAAAAATCACTCTTTCTTAATATTATGATTGAAATGCAAGAAAATTTGTCAAAATCTCTAAATTATACAAAAATGTTAGTCATTTTTCTTTTATTTGACAATTAAATTTGTTCATGAACCAGATTTTGCGCATGATTAATAATAACACAATGAGATTTGATGCATTTTCTAAATCACAAGGACTAACACCTAATTTCTATATCAAAGTGTGGTTTGGTGCATTAAACCCCATTTATTCTATAGCTTTTTCATTAAAAGAGAAGAAGCTGCATGTTTTTATATAGAAATGCGAACCCATTGTCTTATTAAATATGTGAAGGATCCGCATTCATGCTTGGAAGGGCAATGACATCTCTATTTTGGGGGATGTTAGCCGATAGATATGGCAGAAAACCGGTTTTTATATTCAGCACAATCTCTGTGTAATGTTTCTTACTTCCTCAGTTCCTCTACTCATTTTCTATGGTTCAATTAATTTTTTGGCTAAAGGGTCAAATAGGTACATGAACTAACTTAAAGTGTTCAATTAGCCCCTTATATAGGAGGTTCTGCCCGGCCGTCGCCAATTGGGGCGGTTCCCGGTTGAATTTTTTGATGAAATTTTTTTAGCATCTTCTTCATTAAGTCTAGTTTACCCATATCAAATTTCAGCTAAAAATTAAATCGGGAAGGCAGTCAAATGATTTTCCAAAATGTACTGCGCTTTTTAACTACATAGTTATCTTCAAAAAATCATTTGACTTCCTTCCCGGTTGTATTTTTAGCTGAAATTTGGTATGAGTAAACTAGACTTAATGAAGAAGATGTTCAAAAAATTCAACCGGGAACCGCCTCAATTGGCGACGGCCAGGCAGAACCTCCTATATAAGGGACAAATTGAACATTATAAGTAAGTTCATGTACCTATTTGACTCTTTAGCCTAATTTTTTTTAGTTGTTATCTAAACTCAAATTGTTATCCATCTTGCTATATTTGATGGTGAACAGGGTGATTTTCAATACACTTTTCGGTTTTAGCGTAAACTTCTGTATGGCAATCATTACTCGATTTCTTCTTGGAAGTTTAAATGGTTTGCTTGGACCAATCAAAGTACCCTTCTAATTACTTTTACTTGCATATGTTATTTTGTATGGAATTCATCTTATCCCACATTTTTCTAAATAAAATCACGGCTTACCAAAGTAATTGCCCATTTGATAGTTTCTATTTCCGGCTTATCATTATCAATCAATGTTTTTCACCAAATATCGAATTTTTTATTTAATAAATAATGTTGAAATTACTTTTCTGTTTGCACTATGTATTTTGTTGAAAAACTATATAAGCTTTTTTCGTATAAATGTTTTTATCATTTAATAAAATATAGTTCAAATATTGTTTTTCACTGTTCATCATATTTAGTCAATTAAATCATTTCAGTAATTTCAGCCGACTCCAATATGACCAAACGAGATCTAATATCTCATGTTTGTTATTTCAAATAAACGGATAAAAAACAAATGATCATTTACAAAATGGTCAATTCAAAGAATTAGCAAAAAATAGGTAAAACACTCGGCAGTCAGCACTACTCCGTACATGACATAGTTTTTTTTTTGTTTTTTTTTTTTTTTTGTTTTTGCATTGATACTCTACGGTCACCTAACTTTAATTATTTGAATTTCCAAGGCATTTGCAGTAGAAGCCTTTCCGGAACGATATCAATCATTGGGACTATCTTCGGTAAGTTAATTAACTTAGGTCTTGGGGCCTTTTATTATAGGGAAATAAGAAGTAAAAATGTTGTTTGCACCCACCCTCTTATACTCACTCGTATACACTTGTACCTAACCCTGTTACAAACAAAACAGACATGTTTTTGTCTATAAAAATTATGTCAACTTTGTCTATGAATAGAATTCACACACCAAAAAAAATATTACTCCATATCTCACAGAAGTGGTGGGTATAAGGGTGACTACACATTAAGGTGGGTTAGAAGTATATTAACAAGGAAAAATTGATAGTAATAATCCCAACTATTGGCGATCCGCTCATAATAATCCCAACTATCGATTATTTCAGAATAATCCCAACTTTAGGGACCTTCCGCCAATAGTGGTCACTATAAATAAATTTATATAGTTTCTAAAGTGGATGAGGAGTGATATAGCAAGTAATCCCTATAAATAATGAAATAATTACATAAATATGACCAAAATAAAGATGGTTTACAAAAATATGATTCATTACTAGAGTAGTAATGAAATCATAGTAATTTATGTTCAAGTTTTGAACTTTAGTTACCACAGCACTACGTTGTAGTAATGAATAGTCATATTTATGTAAATAAGTTTTATTTTAGTAATATTCTCGTAAAAAACCCATAAATAATCTCAACTTTTAATTTTTACACTTAATTTCTATTTAAAATTCACTTTTTATAGGAGGTAATATCTGACCATGGACCATTATTGGCGGACGATCCATATAGTTGGGATTATACAAAAATAATCAATAGTTGGGATTATTATCAGCGGACCGGCAATAGTTGAGATTATTATTTTCAATTTTTCCTATTAACAAACCTTTCATTTATTAGAAGGAAATCGATAATTCCATTAACAAAATCGATATGGTTAGTCCAGTAGTCCTACAATTTGTATACTTCGTACAATTTGGTGCAAAACTTATGGGTACTAGTTTTCATGTGTTTTTTATGGGAAAATGGTCAAATAAAGCTTTGTACTATTACGTAATTGTCACATAAGGTCATGTATTCGATTAAGTATCATATAAATGCGTCTACTTATAAAAAACAATCGGGTGAGTCAAAACAACCCACTGACAACCTCTTAATCCCGATTTTAACTTATGTGTCGTTATTTTTGCCTTGTATTTAAATCAATCATGACCAAATATTTCTTGCTAGCCATATAATTAATTCAAAAAAGATAGCCAGACGTGCGCTAAAATCAGGATTATGAGATTGTTAACAGGTCGTTAGGACTCATCCGATTGCTTTTTATAAGTAGACGTATAACGTATTTATATGACATAGTATTGAATACATGACTTCATGTGATGGTTTCATAATAGTAGAAGCCTTATTTGACCCTTTTCTCCTTTTTTTTATACGTCATATTTGCACATCACATTCTTTTTTTATACGTCATATTTGCACATCACATTTTACAGAACTTTGTTTTCACATACTTGGGATCATAAAAAAATTACGTATAACAATTTGAAAATAATACGAAGTCATTTACATATCACAATATCACATGGCAAGCAAGGAAGGGGTGACTGTAAGTCACTAATAGACCTCGTCAACAATACGTCATTTATTCTTTCAGGTTAGCACAGCATGGGGTATGGGCTTAATCATTGGCCCCGCTTTGGGAGGTTTTCTTGCACAGGTGAATATTATTGTACAACAATACTCGCTGGTATTTTTTATTTTATTTTTTCCGGGCACTTTAGAAAACTTTGGGTATGTTTGGCACAACTAGCTAAAAAGATACTTTTACGAGCTTTTTAGTAACTGTTAGCTTTTAGTGACTGAAAAGATCTTTAAAATAAAAGGTGATAGCTGTTTGGTAAAAAGCTGATTATTTGATTTAGTTCGGTTTGGTATACAAGCTGTTAGGACTAATTAATACTAAAAGTCACGAGCTTTTCTCAGATGCTACACCCGGTAACATCTCAAAAAAGATCTTTTAATTTTTGAAAAGCTCTTAAAAAATGTCATGCCAAACATACAACTAAAGTCTTTTAAGGTCTTTTTAAAGAATAGAGAAGCTAGAAGCTAGAGTCTTTTGTGTGTCAAACATAGCCTTAGAGTCATTATTGATAATCTTCATCGACGATTTCTAACGGCGTTAGATATCAAACTTCTCTTGTATAATAACGGAATTGAAACATAACTTACTTTGTTAAGAAATGAAACATAATCTTCTATCTAAAAACGGGTCCAACAAATGCATCTTTTTCACACTTTTTTCTAAAAAAACATGTATACATTAACAAAAGAAGGATGACACCCCCGATGACCCCATTTAATTCGTGAGGGCCTTCAACACCGGCCAGACAATTAAGTAGTAGAATGTACATTGGACTTCAATCACACTCTATAGATAGCGACTAAGCCTAAATAGAAATTATTGAAGTACCAATGTCTTCTTCGGTCCTAAATGAAATTTGGAACAGAGTGAGCCTAAATGAAGTTGTACTTTGATCTCTTTTTATTTATTGAGCGACAATGAAGTTGTACTTTGATCTCTTTTTACAAATACGTTATAGCATATATCAGTGGTCAAAGTTGTGCACTGGTCAACGTGAAAAAAGAAACAGTGCAACTAAAAAAGAATGGAGAAACTATTTTTTTTTTTAATATTTACACATTCCATCTTATTTTTAATATACCGTATTTTTTTTACCAATTCTAGCATTTCACGTATCACGTTTCACGTTTCACATTTCATGCCTCTTAACGAATCTAATATAGTCCATTTTGATCGAACTTTTATGTATATTTTCTAACAAAGCCTGCAGAGAAGTATCCTTCGTTCTTCTCAATGGACTCATTATTCAGAAGGTATTTACTATTATCTTGTTTTTACTTCATGCAATATTTTGTATGATCATTATGTACTTCGTATAAAGCAGTGTAAGATATGCATGTATATCTTTGTTTTCCAGATTTCCCTACCTTTTGCCTTGCTTGTGCATTTCTATGTTTGCATTACTTGTGACCATTTCCACATTTTGGTTACCGGTAGGTCTTTGTTGCCTACTCTAAAATTTCAACATTAAATGCCAATGATATGCCATCCTTAGTTTATTTTCACAAAGATCGAAATATAACTGTATTTTATATGTGAATTGTACATGTTTTTCTTTCCACCCCCATGTATATATGCAGGAAACACTACATAAACATGACTCAGTGAGCGTTTCATCTTTCAACTCAAACAAGACTTTAGAGGCTGCTTCTAAAACCTCTAGAGGATCCAAGAAGAGAATTTTCAATAATCGGCCCTTAATGTCATCTATTGTTGTATATTGTGTCTTTTCCCTTCATGAAATGGCTTATACCGAGGTAAATATGGTATATGTGTACCATCCATTTGATTTTTTTTTGTTACACTTAGCTTGTTCCAATCTCATACTATATCTAATCAAACTAGATCAAATGACCAAAATTAGTTTAAGAGAGCAAATCATAACTTACTAATATGTCTTTTTTTGCTATAGATATTCTCATTGTGGGCTGAGAGTCCTCGAAGACTTGGAGGATTAAGTTATTCTTCAGACGATGTTGCAATCGTTCTAGCAATCTCTGGTACATAACAATATATTTTTCTAAAATTGACAAATTAATGTGTTTCACTCAACTTAAACCTTTGATACTCTGTATATTGCAATAATGCGTGCGCACGCACACACATATTTTAGTTTTGGGTTTCTATCCTAAAACTTAGATGGTGGATATAATTTCTCAAGTCTGATCGACTACTTCCTGGCTTCGAGGCTCGAACTCAGTGTTCGGCTAAATAGTTTCAACGAACACCACAAGAGGTTATTAATATGCAAGAGACTAATATTCATGATTGCACTTAATTATTTAATAAAAAATATTATGTAATGATTATTCATTAACCCTGCCCCTATACCTACAAGAGGGACGTCCCACTCTCATTTGGAGGGCGGCTTCTCCATGACCCACATTTTCACTCATTTTTCTGAAATGGATATCAATAAAAGAAAGAGTATCAATCTCTTATTATGTTCTTATTTTAATTTTTACAATAATATTACCGGTTTTATGTTGGGTCATCCCTTAAAAAAGGCTTCGGAATTTAAATGATGATCCAACATAAATATGTAATGTGATTGTAAAAATATAAAATAAAAGAAGAATACAACAACATATTAATACAATTTCCTTTATGTTGTTATCTATTTCGGGATATACAGAAGTGAGAAGACGGGTCGAGGAGAAGCTACCCACCCTCCAAAGGAGGGT